ACACACACACGGACACACACACAGCTTTTCAGAATCAGTTACGGTTTAAATTCAGACTCTTCCTCGTCTCTACATCCAGAAACAAACAGACACTCAAATGACATTCACTGTGTGTTTTACCTTCTACAGAAAACATATTTTAATATCTTGTTCAATTAAATTTCTTTCCAGTAATTATAACATAAATAATATAATTTAAAATAATATACTTAAGTGTGAACTGAATGTAATGTTTTCAGACACTTACTGTAATTGCATGTTAATCGCAATTAAATGAAAATGTAATATAGTTTAAATTAATGTTGAATGCAATTAGCTGAACCTTATAGTGTTTTTGACCCACTTAAGTAGGACTTAAGTACATATATGTAATTTCATAATTCTATTGTCTTTGAAATATGGTTAAAATGAGCTGCTGAATGTACTGACAAACATTTATGATCAACTAAAATATACTTTGTCATTTCTATTGAAACGTGTATGCCATGTATTTAAGTATATTTGCAATGAAATTGCAATTTAGTAGAGTTATAATGATAATCAAGTACTTTACATGTGCTTCAGTACGTTAGTCAACACATCAAAATAACATACTTCTTGACAAAAGATGACAAAAGATTATTGAAACAATTATTTAAACTTTTTAACAAAGGTCACTGTTTAAAAGTGTACTTAAGTGTGTTAATATCACTTAAGTGGCCTTTTATTTCACTAATAATTTCACTAGTTATCTGCAAGTACATTTTTATTAAAAATAAACTTTTACAATTCGATGTATACAAGTGCGCATTCAGTACAATTAAGCAAACTTATTTTTTTCACAAAGGTAAACAGTTAGTCATCGTTCTGCTTCTGGTGGTGTAGTTATATGCCAATGTGATTAATAATCTAGTTAAGCAGTCAAAAGGTCTTAAAAGGAAAAAAGTAAACCTTTAGAAAATATATACATGCCAAATTCCATATGTTTCTAAGTTTCATGATTTCTTTCTTCTGCTGAACATAAAATCAGATATTTTGAAGAATGTTGATAATCAAACAGTTGATGGTAGCCATTGACTTCCACATATGTCAGGATCAATATCATCAAAGATGATTGACAATTAGCATACAGTTTGGATTGGCGGTATGGTTCTGCTCTCGGCAAGAACTCCCTGCGCCTCCATGCAGCCTAGCATGGATGAGAGCAGGGAGAGCAGTGATACACCCAATGCGAAAACTGCTGATACTACTGCGGGACCTTATATATGAATACTTAGATAGGTGTCGTATTCCTATAGGTAGCTGAGAGTCAGCTGATGCGAGCTTGACTAACGTGACCTGCCAGAACTAATGCTACGCTTGATATTAGGCTATGTTTTTAGGCTATATCAACGTTCTTCAAAATATCTTCTTTTGTGTTCTGCAGAAGAAAGAAGCTCATACAAGTTTGTAATGACTTGAGGGTGAGAATTTAAATTTCTGGGTGAACTGTCCCTTTAAGGTTACAGTGAGGTTTGTTTGACATGAACAGAGCTCAAGGAACAGCACTACATCCTATTTAGCAAAATCACGGATATCAGTACGGTTCTGTTTGACGTCGGTTAGTTGATGATTGCTGTTAGCATTGCATTTGATTCCAGACTGATCATGCATCATCAAACTCTCCTCTGTTAGGAATCGGCTCCTAAATGCATCACTCATCACCATAGTAACCACTCCACCGCTCTTAAAGGGAAACACCATAAGCGTGTTTCACAGTAAGCTTTGGCATTTGTTTTTGCTCCGTCTGAGCAGCTTCATCGCAGCGGTGATGCTGAGGCGTCTGACAGCACATCTCTGAGGATCTCCATTCACTGTAACACACCGCAGATACACACTCACACACACTGGAGAAAGACCTCAGGCTGATGTTTTCTGAGCGGCACTTGGGTTTATAGTGGTGTTATTTTAGTATCATATACTAATACAGTTTTTATTAATATATTAAATTATTTTTTAGTTTTAATGTAAAAAAAAATAATAATCGTGTTGTTTGTTTCAGTATCATTGGCATACAATTGTAGTTTTTATTAATAATTTGAATTAGTTTATATGTTTATATATTCAGTTTTCATTTAGATTTTAGTTAAAGTTGTATTAATTTTGTGTTTTTGTCATTTTTATTAGTTATTGTTTTCTATATATTTTTTATGTAAGTATGTCTAATTTTCATTTAGTTTTAGTTATTTTAATATTTCAAGTTTAAATGAAAATGATAAATGATGGCTTGGCAATTACCTTGAATAAAATACGTTTAAATTTGTCTGTTTTATTTTATTTCATTTAATATAAATTTTATTTCAAGTAACAAACATGTTTTTTTTTTTTATGGTTTCAGTTTAAGTTAACTATAATAACTGTTTTTTTTTTTTGTTTTTTTTTCATTTTTGTCATTTTTAAAATTTATATATAGGCAACTGGCTACAATAAAACAAGTTTTATTATTAACATTAATTTTATTTTAAAAAGTAAAATTTTTAATGGTTTTAGTTTTAGTTAACTTTAATAACCATGGTGTGGTTTTGTCATCATTATTATTATTATTATTATTATTATTATTAATAAATAATTTAAATTGTATAAAATTAAAACTTATTTTTTACTTACTATTAAAATTAGTTGACAAGCCAAGATTTCTAATTTTCAGTTTAATTTGACATGCTACATACAATAATGAAATAATGAAAACTGAAATAAAAAAAAATAAAAACTATACACATATATGTAAAAAACAATATAAATAACAAAACAATAATATAAAGAAAAACAAATAACAATGACAAAATTACTACATTTTACTAAAACATTTTATTTATTTAGTTAGTTAGTTTTAGTTAACTCTACCAAGCCTAGTTTACAGTAGCATTTAAATATGGCATGTTCTGACAAAAGCACCTCCATGCCGCAGGATTTACACAAGCTTTAATTAGAGAAACAGGGACCCAAATGTGTCGGAGCGGTTTGTGTGTGCTGGAGATAATTGGAAATGTTCACATCTCACACGTCTCTCTGATCAGGGTGAAGAGGATGATGAGGAAGATCAGCCTCTGAGCCTGTCGTGGCCCGAGTCCAAACGCAAGCGCCTCACGTATCTCTTGATCCTGCCCATAGTCTTCCCTCTGTGGATGACACTGCCGGACGTCCGGAAGGCCGTGAGTTTCTGTCTGACCAGTGTTTGATGCAGATGTGAGAACTGTGATTAACCGTGAGACGATTCTCGTGCGTTTTTTTTCTTTAGAGTTCCAAGAAGTTTTTTCCCATTACGTTCCTGGGAGCGATTTGCTGGATCGCGGGATTCTCCTACCTGATGGTGTGGTGGGCTCATCAGGTAAGAGCGGACAGGACACCAGACACAACTAGTTCACATCAGGGCTTTTATATCTTTATTCAGAACATCTGGACTCGGTTATCCATTTGTTGAAGATGTTAATGTCATTTTTTTTTTTTTTTTTCAAACGCTATAGTCTTCCCTCTGTGGATGACACTGCCGGACGTCCGGAAGGCCGTGAGTTTCTGTCTGACCAGTGTTTGATGCAGATGTGAGAACTGTGATTAACCGTGAGACGATTCTCGTGCGTTTTTTTTCTTTAGAGTTCCAAGAAGTTTTTTCCCATTACGTTCCTGGGAGCGATTTGCTGGATCGCGGGATTCTCCTACCTGATGGTGTGGTGGGCTCATCAGGTAAGAGCGGACAGGACACCAGACACAACTAGTTCACATCAGGGCTTTTATATCTTTATTCAGAACATCTGGACTCGGTTATCCATTTGTTGAAGATGTTAATGTCATTTTTTTTTTTTTTTTTCAAACGCTTTTAAAAAGTGTGCTTAATGATATTTAATGTGCACGTCAAATTTTTAAAATAGCTTACATTAAAAAAAAAGCTACTAGCAGATGATATAATAATTAAATAAAAGTCTGCTTAAGTGACTTAAAGAGAGACACTTTCATGACTGTTTCTGAACACACTTAAGCACATTTTTAAATAATGACCTTTCGATGTCAAATTAAAAGTACATTTTTAATCATCATGTTTTAATAATCTTTTGTCATGTTTTAAAGAAGTACACTTATTTTGATGTGTTGACTAACATACTAAAGCACACGTAAAGTACTTGATTATCATTTTAAGTCTAGTGTGTTATTCAATATTAGATTTAAAGTTACTAATTGCAAATGTCTCATAGCATTTACATTTAGTCATTTAGCAGAAACTTTTATCCAAAGCAACTTACAAATGAGGACAATAGAAGCAATCAAAACTAACAAAAGAGCAACAATATGTAAGTGCAAATGACAAGTCTCGGTTAGCCATTTAATAACTATTTTAATACATAACACAAGTTTCAGTAGATATGACATTAAAGTATATTTTAGTTGACAAGTATGCTTGTCAGTACATTCAGCAGTATGTTAATCATGTTTCAAAGACAATATAAGTAATTATGAAATTACATATAAAGATGTACTTAAGTCCTACTTAAGTGGGTCAAAAACACTCTAAAGTTCAGTTTGTTTGATGCCATGGTGTCTTTTAAATTCTCGACACAGCTGTGAAATAATCTTCCACTGGCAGTGTGTTATTGATGTTGAGGTCAGTCATATTTTTCAGTCGGATTGTTTAGTGCTAATATCTCTGCAGGTGGGAGAGACTATAGGAATCACAGAGGAGATCATGGGACTGACGATTCTAGCGGCGGGAACCTCCATCCCTGATCTGATCACCAGTGTCATTGTGGCCCGGAGGGGTCTGGGAGACATGGCAGTGTCCAGCTCCGTGGGCTCCAACATATTCGACATCACTGTGGGGTACGCTTTGTGTTTTTATTTAAGAAATTCATACTTTTATTCAGCAAGAATGCATTAAATTGATCAAAAGTGCCAGTAAAAACATTTAAAATGTTGCAAAAGATTTATCTTTCCAATAAATGCTGTTCTTTTGAACTTTCTATTCATCTGTGAATCCTGAAAATTAAAATGTATCATGGGTTTCACAAAAATATTGGGCAGCACAACTGTTTTCAACATTGATAATAATCAGAAATGTTTCTTGAGCAGCAAATCAGCATATTATACTGATTTCTGAAGATCATGTGACACTGAAGACTGGAGTAATGATGCTGAAAATACAGCTGCGCATCACAGAAATGAATTACATTTTAACAGATATTCACATAGAAAACAGCTATTTTTAATAGATTTTTACTGATTTTACTGTATTTTTAATCAAATGAATGTTGATTCGATAGACATATAAATAATGTGCACTCTGTAATGTCAAATTAAAACTTTAACATACATTTGAAATCATTGTTTTAATCATCTTTTCTGGTGTTTTAAAGATGTGTTGACTAACATACTAATGCACATGTAAAGTACTTGATTATCATTTTAACTGTGTTTTATTCATTTCTACATTTTAAAGTTAATACATTTTATATTGTAATACATTATGAGGTACCGCATTGCAACTTTACATCATTGCATCTTTACAAATCAGTAATTTGTTGCAAACATTAATTACAAACATATTTAAATACATGGCATTCAGGTTCAACAGAAATTGCATTAAAGTATATTTCAGTTGATCATAAATGCTATCAATGCATTCAGCAGTACTTTAACCATATTTCAAAGGCAATATAAGCAATTATGAAATATCATACAAAGATATACTTAATTGGGTCAAAAACACTAATTGCATTTAATACCAATTTAAACTCTAATACATTTTCATTTAATTGCAATGAACATCCAGTTGTCTGAAAACATGACTTTCATTTCGCATGCAAGAATATTTTTTGAGAGTATATTATTTCTATATTTCTTTATGCAGCATTAAGCATCACACAGTTCACTCGGTTTTGTATCAGAGCTTTAGTTTCGTGCGTTTATAATGTTCAGAGCCCTAAACCAGCATTTCTTTGTTTCCCAGGTTACCGCTCCCATGGCTGCTGTACTCCATTATAAACAGTATGAGCCCGGTTCAGGTGAGTAGCAACGGTCTGTTCTGCGCCATCGTGCTGCTCTTCATCATGCTCCTCTTCGTCATCATCTCCATCGCCGCCTGTAAGTGGAAGATGAGCAAACTGCTGGGCTTCATCATGTTCCTGCTCTATATGGTCTTCCTGGTGGTCAGCGTCATGTTGGAGGACAAGGTCATCATCTGCCCCATCTCTGTCTGACGTCTCATTTACACACGCATGAAGCTAAAACCGGACACCTGCTGACTTTACTTCACCTCTGTAGGCATTTCTGTTCTTATGACAGAGTTCTCAGCCTCCTTCGCACTTCATCTAACGCCCTGTGTGTGTGTTTATGGGGTTTTACACACTTAAAAACGTTTTAATATTAAGATTTGTATTAATACTTGTTTTCCAATAAAATATCTAAATGTCCTTAAAGAAGATAACTGAACTGTCTACTTGAGAAGCAAAACTCGTTTTCAGAGATATCTTGGCATCATTTTTTTTTTTTTTTGGTATAGTTTTAAGCATAAACTTCATTAGGCATGAACTTTAATTTTTCTTAAAATAAAACCTATTTGGCAGCAATTAATTCAAGATATAGTCTAAAAATATATATATTTTCTTACTTAGTATTTTTGTCTTGTTTTCCAGTGCAAATATCTGAAAATTCTTAAATCCAGATGCATTAACTGGAGAACGGAAATTACTTAAGTAGACTACTTAAGATATAGATATTATTGTCTTTTTTTCTAAAAAAAAAAGACAGAAAGATAGATAAATAAATAAATACAATTTGAGCGTATGCCAGTGTTATTTTAGTATTGCTGAGATACTATTATATTTTTTATTTATATTTTGAATCCGTTTTTATTTTTATATTTTCAGTTTTCAGTTTTGTTAAAGTTTGAGTAATTTTGTTGAGGTTTTGTCTTTACACACACACAAACACACCCATGCACACACACACACGCACACGCACACA